TGGGGATTGGGCCAACCCAATCCTGTAGTAGCATTTCACACTTTGAAGGTGCAAAGCACACGCCGAACATCGCTACACTAGCACTCAGACTATCCAGAAAAGCTTGCCACTTACTGAATCTCCACTTAGTAGTACAATGTCGTCTGCGTAATCTAGATCAGATAGTCTGCCACCTAGGAGTAAATCAAGGCCGTTATGCCCGCATGAGGATAGAGCTGTTTCAAGAATAAAATCTATGACAAAGTTAAGTAGAAACGGAGAGAGAGGACAAACCTGTCGAACAGCACTTTCCGTGGTGAACTCGGGTGAAAAAGTGCCGTAAGCTCTGACTCGACTTCGGATATTATTATAGAGGGATTGAAATATTGAAATAAATTTCTCGGACACACCCTTTAGGGAAAGGTAGGTACAGAGTTTAGAGTGATCGACTGAGTCGAAAGCCGCTTTCAGGACGACGAAGATGGAAATGGTGGGTCTACGAAAAGAGTGTCTGTGTTCTAGGATTTGTCGAAGAGTGAAGATGTGGTCGATACAACCTCGACCAAGTCTAAAACCAGCCTGGTTCTCACGCGTGCACTCTTCACGAGCGGCAGACGATCGAAGGAGTATGATGCCGGTGAGAAATTGAGAGGCAATGTTGATTAAACTAATTCCTCTGTTTGTTTCTACAAGAGGACCTGTAGCATTTTTTGTAAGTCGGTATGATCACCGATTGACACCATTCAGCTGGAACCTCTTCCCTTTCCCACACTGAGCCCAGGAGTTTGTTAACTCCAAAACCAAGGCTAGACCTCCATCCTTAAAAGCCGATTGGGACAGCCTGTCGGGACCGGAAGCCTTATACCTGTTGAGATAGCTTATTTTTCGGGTAACCTCTATTTCAGATGGAGGACTGATGTCAACTGGCAGTATTTGCACAGTTGAATCGGGTGTATGGAGGTCTCGTGCTGACGAGCGCCAGCTGAACTGAGCCTTAAGATGTTCAGCCCATCGATCTAGATGGCGTTGCTAAATATGGATCAGTGTGTCGTCGGACTCCTTAATTACCTCACTTACGCCTGCTTTCCCTGGACCTGTACTCCTAATTAAACGAAAAAGATTGCGATTATTACCGATAGCCGCAGCCTTCTCTATCTCTCTACACTTTCCTACCCACCACTTCTCGCGGTCATTCCTCAGACTCTTGAAGTACTGGCGTTTAAGGGATTTGCGCGCTTTGTGGTAGTTTGAATCCGAAGGAATGGCTGTGCGAGCGTCCAGCAGGGCAACCGAAGACGGGGAGATCCATCGTTCTTTATTTGATCGTGAGTCAGAATTTGCTGTGGTTTCGATTGACATTTTGATAGCTTCTTTGATTGCCGTCCAGTGTTCACTGAGTCCTCCGGATGATGGTTGTGCTGAGAGACGATCTGATAGTTCTGCTTCGAAGGCCGATTTGCAATCATTGCTGACACTGTATCTTGGGCATCCGTTTTCGGTGGCTTTTCTGTGGCTGTTTGTCAAACGTAGGAAGAATCTCGCTCGTAGAAGAGCATGGTCCGTGTCCACGGGTGTTGAGCGGGTGTAAGAGCGGCAGTCTTCAATGGATCCTCGCCAGAGGTGGCTGATAGCGATGTGGTCGATTTGAGTTCAGCGCTGTGAAGCGGTTGGCGGTCTCCATGTAAGACGGTAGCGTTTTTTGTGCGAGAAGTTCGTGCTTGACAGGAACAGTCCGTGGTCAGCACAAAGTTGGAGTAGGCGTTCTCTGTTGTCAGTCCTGTTGGCTGGGATTCCATGTGAACCTTTAAGTAGCCTTTCTGATTCATTCAGGGATCCCACTTGAGCATTGAAGTCTCTAATGACCACCACGATGTCCGTTGACCGAGCACTTCGGATCAGTTGAGAGAGGTCCTTGTAGAATTTATCCTTCACTTCTGGCGAACTGCAATCTGTCGGTGCATACGCGGATACAACGAATAAACATCGACGCTTCGTTCTGTAGCTGTTGACTCGTACTGAACCATCCGGANCGCAAAGTCGGCTGTTAACCGGGATCCAATCGAGAACTGAACGCTCGGCCTTGACACTCAGCGCAACCCCCACACAAGCAACACCGCTAGCTGCGGATGCCGAATCGCCTGACACACGAAGATTGAATCGTGAGGATGAGGTTGGATCTGAAGAACGCAAGATACTTGAAGTAGGGTCTTGTATGCGTGTTTCGGAGACACAACATACATCTAAATGGAAGGTTTCAAGGGTTCTAGATAAGGCGGCTTGTTGACCAATTTGGTAGAGTGAGCGGACATTAAATGCGGCTAAGTGGAAAGGAGATTTTGGTTTCGAAAATCTGATAGCCTCTGAGTGGTTGGCCTCTTTAGTTGAACACTGAGTGGTATCCGATGGGTGGCGCAAACGGAGTGCACCTCTTAAGGTATGGGAGTGAGAAGAGGAAATAGACAGTTGAGAAAGACGGTTCTCCAAATGTGGTCCTCTTATACAA